ATAGCATAAAGCATCACAGTCTTATCAGATCACTATTAGGATTTTTAAGTAAGCTATTAAATCTTGTATTATAAACTGGTTTAAAACTCTAGTTCTGGCTTTACATAAAGAAAACAACCAGTAATGTGACTGGCCTGCAAACCACAGTTAAACAGTCTCACCTCTGAGGAAAAGGTGGCAGAACATTAACAGCACCTCTTTTGCAGTTAAGTCTCTGCCTCATCCAAGAAGCTGCCCTCTCACCATCAGTCTAACAACTGGTGAAGGGGCAGAATCAGCTGAATGGTTTTTATTCCCAAGATCCCTCCTGCCTTATCACATCAGCTCCATCCTAATTTCCAATGGGTGACACATGATGCTGGTTTTGCTCTTAGGCTCAAAGGATAGCCAGAGTATCCATGAAAGCTCCCTATTAAAAACCATCCTGGGAAGTTGTAGCTCTAGAATAACACAAAGTTCTTTGTTTCTTCCCAAACACCAAGGGTCCTGTGTACAAAGTCACCTGGAACCCTCTCAGCACTGACATGTTCCTCAGCTGCTCTGCAGACTGGAGCATTATCCTGTGGCACCGTGATTCACAGACACCCGTTTTAACCTTCAGTTCTGCCAGCGCTTTTGTTCATGACATTATGTGGTCTTCAAAATCAGCCTTCATGTTCGCAGCAGTGAATGAAAGCAGAGTAGAAATTTGGGATCTTAGGGTCAGCATGTAAGTAAACACTTTTCTCAAGGAAGTTTCTGAAACTTAATGGCACAAAGGCTGCACACTATTGCCTCATCACTGTTGTTACTCATCAGTGAGCATTTGCTTGCTCAGCTATTGAAAGTATTGCATTTTAAAATACTCATTTTGTAACAGCACATGGTAGTTACCAGAGAACTGTGATTACAAGAGAAGGAGCTGGATGTTTTATGGAACTGATAACGGGCAAACTGAGCTTTGCTCCTGCAGAAATAATAGATTTCTGCCACAGTTAAAAGGAAAAAGAACTGAAACACTTTGATCTTTCATAAAGACAGGATGGTCAGAAGTTGAGGCAGCTCTCACATTTCCCCTCTACTGTAAAGCAGGTGCACATCTCACCTCAATTAACCTGTGGCCTTGCACTGCTGGGCTGTTCCATTCAGTATTAACCACAGCATGAAGCCCACATGGAGAAGGAGCCTGTCATATCTGGTGGTAGCAAAAAGCAAATTCTCTATATAATAAAGATATCACCCCCCAGCCCATATCAGGCAATAGAACAGATTTTAGGTAGCCAGGATATCTTAGTTAATAGCAGCTGGGATTTTTGTTATGGTAGAGGCCTAAACAAAACACTGTTTCACTTCTTAAGTTTTTGAGTGCATCTAGAACGTAGAAAGTAAACCATGCAACACCTATCAGGCTCAGTCAACACAATGTGACCTGTTAATTCTGGCCTTCACTGCAGCTTAGAGCCCGTGCTGTCTCGCTTTGCCAACCCAACAGTCAAATTCACATCTGTCCTCTTTGCTAAGAACACCGACTGCCTTCTTGTAGGAGACAGTCAAGGAGAAGTTGGTGTGTTTTTGCTGCACAACCTGGCTGCTCTCAGCAACAGTAAGGTATGATCTACATGGGAATGGTGGTAGCTCGTGGAGGCCTGTGTGCTTGTCTAGCATGTCATTCATGTGCAAGGAGGTTTCTGCTAAACACTAGCTAATAAATATTGAAACAGGTGGAATCAGATACAATCCCATGAGCAGATTAAACCCCGAGACGGTTCCTGCTCTTCTGCATACCACATCACTAGAGACCTCAGGAACAATGAAGTCAACATTTAACTTTAGGTTTCACTTGATCACAAATCCAGAGGTTGGCTACAGCTGGATTTGGGAGGGACATCTGGGTCAAGGACAGGAAGGTGGAGCTCCTCTAAATGCAGTCCGCAGGTGACTGTACTTGGCAGAATGCCTCTACCTGCTGACAATGCAGGACCTGCGCTCTCCTGGCCACCCCCAAGACAGTCTCACTGTGCTGGCGGCAGCAAACCCATCAGCCCTTTGGCTCTGCATTGCCCTCACTCTTCCAGAAGCCACCCTGGGTGCTCCAGCACCAGATGGATCTCTCCTCTGATCCATCCAGCCGATATCCATCTAAGCTTCATTCTTAGGGTAACACAGATTAATAATTTACAAATGTCAGCTTTGCATTTATAAATTCTGGTAATTACCAGCTTCATTTGCCAAGTGCTGTGAAACACAGAGCAAAAAGATAGTTGCCTTAAAAAATAAGAGCGAGGCCATTGTCATCTCAGTCTCCCCTCTGGCAGGTTAAAGCCATTTCCCCTCAGCCTTTCCCTACCAGCCCTTGTCCAAAGCCCTTCTCCAGTTTTCTTGTAGCCCCTTTAGGCACTGGAAGCAGCTTTATGGTCTCCGTGGACCCTTCTCTTGTCCAGGCCAAACAACCCACATCCCTCAGCCTGTCTTCATACCATACATGTATCATCTTGAAAATTAATTTGCTTTCTAAACAAGATGTATGTTTGTTGCTGACACTACAAACACAATCCAAGCAGGCCTGCCAAAAAGTGCTGTTTTCAAGGAGCATTGTTAGAAGTAAGCAGTGTATTACCAGAGTTCCAAAGAAGAATCAGCTGACACAACACAAACTACCTCAGCCTGTTTGCTGGATGCTCGCCACGCAAGCAGCTCTGCTCTCAGTTTGTAAACAGGAATTGTGAATCACTGCACGTCTTACACTGCTCTTTTTTTATCTCTTATTTTACAGGTTTAAAGCTTTACCATATATAGGATATAATGGGTCCTGCTGTAGGTGTTTAACAATAGTTAAACAATACCCCTTCTCGGCTGGTAGAGAGTGAGAAAGACCTATTATAGTATTAACAGAAACCATTTTAATGACTGAAAAAGAATAAACTTCTCCATGAAACTATATTGGCTAGAAACTGCCTTCAAATGCTCTACATTTTCCCCTGGAAGTCCCTCCCCGTCTCCCCCCCCCCGCATTAGACAAACAGCATTAATACACAGGGGGAACAGAAGGGTCTCCCGGATCTTTTCTCCTTGGAGTTTTCTCCTTCATTTTTCCACCAAGGTGTTTTCTCCTTGGGCTACTCAAAACCAAAAAAAGCCAAAATCACCTCCTGCATAGGTCACTCCAAAACACAGCCTAAACCCCTACCAGACTATCCTGCATCTGCCCTGTGAGATCATACAGTAAATGAATGGAATTCCCATGAGATCACAGAATCACAGAATCCCAGCCTGGTTTGTGCTCGAAAGGACCTTAAAGCTCATCCAGTTCCAACCCCCTGCCACGGGCAGGAACCCCTTCCACTAGAGCAGCTTGCTCCAAGCCCCTGTGTCCAACCTGGCCTTGAACACTGCCAGGGATGGGGCAGCCACAGCTCCTCTGGGCATCCTGTGCCAGTGCCTCAGCACCCTCACAGGGAAGAGCTTCTGCCTAAGAGCTCATCTCAGTCTCCCCTCTGGCAGCTTAAAGCCATTCCCCTTGGCCTGTCCCTACAGGCCCGTGTCCAAAGCCCCTCCCCAGGTTTCTTATAGCCCCTTTAGCCAGTGGAGCTGCTCTAAGGTCTCCCTGGTGCTTTCTTATCTCCAGGCAGAACAAGCATCTTGTCTTTCATCCCATAAACCACCACTGAGATGGAAGCTGAGCTCTGAGAGGCACTGGGTGGTCTGCGAGCTGCAGACCAGCCCACACTAAGCACAAGGAAAGACCAACCTTGTTCACCCTCTGACGAATTAGAGTAATATCAAATTGCCATTTAAACTCACCGTGTTCCACACTGACACTTTCAGAAAGCTCTTTACATGACATAAGTGTCCAGGCTGCTGGACCATGGTGTCTTAGAGGACTTCCAGAGCCTTGACTGCTCAAAGAAAATACAGAGCATTTCTACAGATGAGCCACTAAGATCAAGGATCTCTGTCACAGGAGCGGGGTGACACAAAGCTTGGCTGTAAAGCTCCCTGCCCACCTGCTGACGGGGACCATAGCTGCCTGCTCCCTCAAGCATTACATCTTGAGACATGTATTTCATAGATAAAAAACATTCAGACCCTCTCATTAGCCTGACAATAAACATCCAACATTTAAACACATCACTGAAGTTAAAGACCATTTGTAAAGCATTAACGTTTACTTCCTCCTGCATTCTGCACATTTTACAAGGACTGTGCAAGCTCACCCTGGACATAAAATTAATCTTTGTGCATTTCAAAGAAGGACACCCATTAAAGTGAATCATGTGTTAATCATTATTACAGATCTGAACAAAATACACCACATATTTTCCATTGGTGGTTCTAACTGTTTACTTACTGATGCTACTGGTAAAAAAACGAGCTTTCTGTCAAGGCTGTAACACATTGTAATTCTCCCTGTACACAGTGTAAACTCGTCATCTGGAACATTATGGTGCTGGAAAACACTGGTGCTAGGAAGTGCTGGAGATCTCCTAAGATCCTCCTGCATTTTGTTCTTATCACAGAATTTCTGACCTCGTAATTGCCAAGTTTTCTCCTTAAGGCATTTTATTGCAATATGTTTTTATAGAAGCTGATGGCAACTACAGCCAATGACATCCAAAACACCAGGAAGGGACCACTCTCATAATCTACTAACCTCTGGTCCTGGAGCACAGTAACACTGCTCCACCCTGCGCCAGTGAACCCACTTGTGTCTTTCAGCTACCACCAAAAAGACATTCTGATCTGTAGCTGTTCCTGCTCTGTTTAGAGCCATCTCCTCTTTTCCTTGCCTTTTTGGAGATGGGCCATATCCACAGGCCTCCCTGCAGAGACATTTGAGCCCTGCAGCTGCACTGTTGCTACTTCCAGGCAAATACCTATGGATGCAAACTCACAACCAACTCCATCACTCTGTACAGTTTGTCACAGCCAGTTCACAGCCAGCTCCATGTGCTGCAGGATCGCATCCTACCACTCGGCACACCAGGAATCAGAGCAGGGCACATGCAGGCTCTGGTCCCTCGGTACCCCATTTTTGTTGTGAGTGACTGCCCAGCACTGACAGGATACTTCAAAGCATCCACAGTTACCAGCCTGACAAAGAACAAGGCAGAGGTAATGCAAAAGCACACAACTGTGGACATCCCAAGAGTTAAATCCCTCTTGGTTTGTGATCACCAACAGAAAAAGACTGATGCCACTCAAACTGTAGTAACAGGCATGACTGGGAAGAGGCTGCATGCTGTGTGGGAAATACACAGGGATGACACTCGTTATCTACAAACCATGTAACAAACACCCTCTCGCTTCTGCAGAACATACACATCAATGGTATCAAACTGAGCCTGCACCCTTGAAGCATGTTGTATATACCATATATGTTCATATAGCAAAGCAGTTCCATAAGGAACTCCTTAAGGAGACTTTAATACCTGAACAAAATCCCAGCACAAATCCTGACACACATAAAACACCACATCACTGGAAGGAAACAAGTCATCAGCTTTTTTTTAGCAAACATTAAGTCATCCTCAGAATGAGCCGGTACTCAGTGGAGCGGACAGGCCCTTGGTATAAAGGTAAGGGTGGCAGCAGAACTCCCCACCTTGGCCTCACAGGTCCCTCCTGCCCCACCAACAAGCACTCCATCTGCAGCATGAGGAGCACAGTGCTAGCACTGGCCTCACTTGCACTCCTGATCACAGCACAGGAAGGCAAAGGTGAAGGGAACAGCATGAGGCTCTGTGGGAGAGACTTTGTCAGAGCCATAGTCTTCACCTGCGGCGGCTCTCGGTGGAAAAGGCACTTGACTGATTATCAGTACCTGTTTGGTAAGTACTCATTAACACATTACATTCTTATTGCCCCCTGGAAGGTGTGCCCAGCTCCAAGGGGATTCAGAAGAACCATGTCACCTGCAGACTGTGCCCAAGGGCAGAGCTGTGCCCAAGGGCAGAGCTGTGCCCTCGGCTCTTGCTGCTCCCCTGAACAGGCACATCTCAGATGCCAACAGCACAGGCTCTGCCTGGAGACAGCAAGTTTCCTTGCAGCTTGCTTGGCATAGCTTAAATAAAACGCATTTAGAATGAGACTTTCCAAATCAACCTGAGAAACCGCAAGTTAAGGCCAAGGCTACCACTAGGAATCTCTATAGCCCTGACATTTTAAATGTCAGGGACAGCTTTGCACAGTCCATGCAAGTTCTTTACCGTTATCTTCAGTAGGACACACTGCTTTCCCCGCTAGAAACTATATTACAACCTAATAATATTATAATTAAAGTATGTTAAATACATACTCTGCAATTTAAGTACCTTCATGTGGTGGTGTATATACTTGTATTTATTAGCACAGTTTTAGATAGAGTCAGAAAATTTGTCCATTACTGCTAGTAATTTCTAACTCTGATAGATTAAAATAACTAGAAAAAGGAAACTAAATGAGGCAGATGAGAGAAGCTGAGACTTTCTACACCTTCTATTCAAGTAACTTCAGACTTTTATGAAAACTCTATCATAGCAGCAGCTTTAAACAAACATAAAAAGTGATGCTACCTGCAACACCCTACCTGAGTCTGTTACAGAAGAAACCCCTGCTGCTAAACTAAGCCAGAGAACTACTACACCTTTACAAACTCCACAAGGCAGTGCCCACTTGTACCATGGTATTTAAAATGAACCCAAATTGCAAGTGTAACTTCAGTAGGAACATCCAGAACTTTGGAACTGTGGGGTATTTGATGCCTTAACACCTGCTTTTCAGGAAACCCACACCCAGCTCCAGGCTAACAGGCTGGTCAGGTGCCACTGACACATCAAATCACAGTTTTACCCTTCAAAACAAATATATCAGTGTGAGACTGATAAGGAAACTGTTCCTACAAAGAACACTCTTTAATATAAATCCATGAATTACTGTTTTTTTTTACATGCTAATCACAGAATGGGTATTCAGATGTCTATTTTAATACTGCCCTGGTAAAAAGTCAGTGCTCTGGTCCATCTTGGTTTTTCACAGTGGAAACACAGAGGATAGGTAATACCTTCAGCTCCTTGGCCATAGGCTGGTCTGTCTTTCTAGTAAAGATAACTATTACAAATTACTCATGATTCCGTGACTTCGAATTTTTATGTGCCAGAGAGTGAAAATCCCCTGCCTCTCTCACAAGAGAACAACGGCTATGCTGACCCCTCAACGTACGCAGACCAGAGTCTGGAGACCGACAGCGAAGAAATCCACAATGTCAAGCATGAGGCAGAGCAGGACTTGCAGCACTCCAGGAAAACATTTATCCTGCAAAAGCGTGAGGCAGCTAAGCTGCTCACCACATCCTGCTGCAGCATCGGCTGCAGTGAGAGGGATATCAGCACCCTGTGCTGAAAGACAGCAGATGCTGATGAGGTTTGATGTAACGTCTTTCACGTAATAAATAATCATGACATAAACCACTATTATTTCAGTTGTATTCTTGAACTGTAGCTTTATTTTCTGGAGCACACTAGGGAGTAAAGGCTGAATGTTCAATGTAGTGCAAGCTAGTAAATGCTGCAAGGACAGTTCAGGCTGGAATGCCTGGATGCCACAAAGTCTTCACAGTGGTTTAGAATTAAACTTCTAGACATCAGTACAAATATCTGTTTCCATCTAACTACTGTTCTAGTTCCACATAAAATCCAACAAACCACACAATTTATTATATGCTCATTCTCTTATGAAAGCCCAGCAGCAGGTTTCAGCTGTGAAATATGGGTAGCAAGAAGTCCTTTTTCAGAACCAGAACCAAACCCAGGCCATGCAGACAGCTCTGGTGGAGTACCACACAGTGCAGCAAGTCAGCCAGACCCCACTACTGCAGCAGAAAAGGGCTGCAGCAGGCAGGAGCTGCCACCAGCCATTACCAGCCCCAAACTGGGCAGGCAATAGCTAGGATTTATTTCCTATTCCAGCTGCTTCCAGTAATGACTATACAAGGCCCTACCAAGTGAACAGTTAATGTGCATCCAGAGAGACTGGAAACACACTTCTGAGCTCACAGGGCTGTACTTCCTCTCTTAGCTATAGGTATCTATCAGATGAGAACCCCAATTCAATTTTTCTTTGCTGGATTCAAGCACCTTCAACAGAAGGGCCCAGATATGTTAGATCTATATACTTTAAACATAATTTGAAGATGTTTTTCACTTGATTTCAAACCCTATGGGACTGAGCTAGTCTCCTCAAAGCAGAACCAGACACCTTTTCCTGGCCACCTTTTCTGTACTCAGGGTGCAAGGGGAGGCAGGCCAGAATGACTCATTCTCCTTTCCTCTCTTCAGCAGGAAGGTTTGAAGGTACCCCCCTGTCCCCCAGGCAGGGCAGGGTAACTCGCAGCACCGAGTTATCACAGCTTGATGGGACACAGCACCTGCAACACAGTATGTGCATGGAGCCAGGGCCACAGGCCCAGCATGTGTTTCCCTGCCTGCAGTTGCCATTTAACAGGGACGGTTTTAAAATGCTTTTGGTTTACTTTCCCCAAATCCCTCTGTGTTTTCTACTTGGGGTTACTCAGTAAGAACAAATTCAGGGCAAAAGAAAGTATTTCAGGGACACCCAGTTCTGAAAGCAGCTAGAATCAGGTGCAAATCATATGTCACAGCAAATCACGGCCCAGAGGAAACTCTGGGAAGTACAGTTATTACATTCACCACCGGAAGGCTCATGGTAACCACATTTCAAACAGGTGAAAGTTGCCTTGGTCCTTCACAACCCTTTTCCGCAACAGAAACAGGGAGAGTTAGGCTGGATATTCATTTCTCCTGCGGTTAAACTCTACCTTATTCCAAATAAACAGCGTAGACATTTGCAAGAGCAAACAGTGACGCGTTCTTGAACACGTACGATGAAAACGTATCGCTCACAGGATCCCACAGGCACCTGCTTCCGATCTGGATGCTCGGCTCCTTCAGCTGCCCAATGTGTGTCACCACAACGATCTTGTACCTGGGTATCATCAGGTCTTTTACCCGCGCTTTAATAAGCTGCAAGAGAAAACCAAGTTTAGACCCCAGTGAATAGCATGTTCTCCTCTGTACAGATACACAGTTACCTGATTACAGGGGGAAAGGAAGAGCAAACAGTACCCCTTTTTTAATGCCGATTCTGAGCCAAATCAGCTGAGACTGAAGGGGCAGGACAGTCTCCCCCCAACAAGAAGCCTGGGTTTAACTGAGGAGGAGTCTGCACACCTAGCACTGCTCAGAATTCAGTCACTACGATAACTATCCTGTTTTTAAGAGGTCTGACACGTACCTGGATTTAGTTACGATATTCCTGGGCAGAGCAACCACAGCGTGGAGTTTTTACTACACCGTGTGCTTCGCCAGAGCCACTGCTGCTCAAATAAACCTCACAATCAACTCGTGTAAACCCACACCCGCCTCAGAGCAACCTCTGGTGCACCCCGACTTCCCCCCAGCACTACTTTTACACTTCATATCTGCATTCCGGACCTCCCCGCCCCGAGGGCCTCCTCCCTGACACCCCGTCGAGGCGTGCGGACAAAATGGCCGCAGCCGTACCTCAGCGATGTCCTTCACCATCTCCCTGCACCGCACGGGCTCGTAGGGCTGCTCCCTCAGGCAGCTCCCCAGCACATCCCTCAGGATAGCATCCACCGCCGCCACCGGGAAGCGCTTGGAAGGACCTGGGGGCAGGCGGGGAGGTTAAGCTGGGTTTCCTGAGGGAAAACACCGCGCTGAAGCCAGAGGCAGCCGCGTCCCGCCCCGAAGCACCCGGCCCCGGGACCTACCGAAGGACGGGGGCTCGCTGCCGGCCGCTCCGCCCTGCATCCCGCTCCGCTGCTGAGGGCAGGCGGAATGGCGGGAGCGGGGCGGCCGGTGGCGGAGCACGGCTCCCGGCTCCCTGCGGCCGCGGGGCGGCGCTGCCGGCAGCGAGCCCGCACAGCCCGGCCGCAGCCATGTTGGCTCCCTCCCCGCAGGCTCCGTGTGCTCGCCGCCTCCACGGACCTTCTGTGTCTGCAGCCGGTGCCGGGCCCCGCAGCCTCTGTGGGCCTTGGGTGTCCCCATGGCCCCCAGGGGTTAACACAGCCCCCATGTCCCTATGGCCCCTGTGGGACCTCAGGACCCCCATGCCCCCCACAGGTCTCCATGTGTACCTACAGCCCCCAAGGGTACCCACGGCCTCCACAGGACCCCCACATACACTTATAGCCCCCATGGGCATCCATGGCCTCTCATGTCCTCACATGTGCCTACAGCCCCAGTGTGTCCCTACAGCCCTGACTTGTCCCCATGCCATCCACAGTCCCCTCAATCCTCACAAGCCCTCAGAGCCATGATGCTTCGTGTCCCTACAACCTCCATGTATCCTGTCAGGCTCCACTCATCCCCATGGTCTCTGGGAATCACAGAACAATATAATCCCAGCCTGGTTTGTGTTGGAAGGGACCTTAAAGCTCCTCCAGTTCCAACCCCTGCCACAGGCAGGGACCCCTTCCCCTAGAGCAGCTTGCTCCAAGCCCCTGTGTCCAACCTGGCCTTGAACACTGCCAGGGATGGGGCAGCCACAGCTTCTCTGGGCACCCTGTGCCAGCGCCTCAGCACCCTCACAGGGAAGAGCTTCTTCCAGTATCTAACCTGACCCTCCCTTGTTTCGGTTTGAACCTGTTACCCCTTGTCCTATCACTGCAGTCCCTGATGAAGAGTCCCTCTCCAGCATCCTCAGAGCCCCCTTCAGACACTGGAAGCTGCTCTGAGGTCTCTTCTCCAGGCTGAACAGTCCCAATGTTCTCAGCCTATGTGGCTCCCATCTCCCCACATTTGCCCCCACACCAACCGCGATGTGTCCCCAAGCCAGGATGCTACACATAGCTCCAGCAGCGGTGATGATTTGGGCCAGGGACATGGTAGCCCCTGATACCTCTGCTCCGCTCCTCCGGGTACTCCCGCACCTGCAAGCAAAGCTCACTCAGAAAAGGTCGTGTTTTACAGATTTTCGTTTATTTTCAAGGAAAAAAAATAATAATCACATTTAAATTGCAGCTCAGTTGGGGATTTAACGTGGTTCTGATGTACAGAATTCATAAACTTTGTTCTGACGCGGGGGTCCGTCGGTTGCAACGTTATGCATGGTAAATAATTGCATATTCAAGATTTTGTGAAATGGGCGACGGGGGGAATGGAGGGGAGACATTTATAAAAAACATTATTTACAAAAAAAATGATATCCACGTCGTCGTCTTCTACCCTATAAGGCAAGTAAACATTTAAAATATGTTGGTTCATGATTATCTTCAACGAGTCAATACAACACATTCATATTACCAGTGGTCAAATACAAAGCTTTGCTGCGAGAGTCCGTGTGCAACAAACCCAGACGGCTTTTACAGTGTTGTTTCTTTTTTTCTCTGAGAACAGTAGGTAAGCAGCAAAGTTTTCATCACAGACTAAGCAGTACCTAGGCCATCGTCCACTAAAGGTATAATATATCTCATTGCACGTTTAGGCAAAAAAGGCCAGCCATTAATTAACTTATTTAACTTAAATCTTAAAAATAGACCTGTGTATCTTAATCCACAAATATTTATAAACATTTTATACACGAGGGAGTTCATAAAATGATACAGGGCGATACCTAGGGAAATCCGATTCGATTCCGGGGCATCCTCTGGGTTCAGAGGTGTCACAGTGAGGTTCTCCTGCGCCCTGTGCCCTTCACCCACCAACCCAGAGCTGCAAACCAGAGCCCGCCCCAATCCCTCTCTCAGACCACAACTAACATCTCCGGATGTTTTATGCCATCCAAGCAACCAGGTGATTTCATCAACCTGGGAGCACTCTGGAGTGGAAAACCCCTCCTATGTGAATTACAATCCCAACAGCCGGGCTGCATGTCTGCAACCATTCACCCCATGTCCAGAAAGGGGGATTTCTAACAAAGAATAAGATATTCTGGTATGTTTTACCACATACTGCTTGGCCTGAAGTCCTGCTCAAGGGCAAACCTTTGAATGCTTGTGATTTTAAGAGCAACTGGCAGCAGCATTATCTGCAGTCCCTCCTAAAGGGATAGGGTTATGCAGGGTGGAGGGGGGGGGTGGTATTTCTTGCAATGAAATATGAATTGAAATACTGATAATCATAAGATCTTCCTAACTCTGCAAGAATGATTTTCCTTGGGAAATTGTGAGAAAAGAAAAAATTCTGGTTATGAAATTAAATCCTTGAGACTATCATTTTTTACGGAGAAAGTTATTATATAGTGATGGTACAGATTTGGTCACACTAAGCTCCCAAAATTAAGTATTTTAACCAAGATATTTTCAAGTAAAACCAAGAAAAGGGTAGGGGAAAATCACTCCATATTCAGTGTATTGAAGTGGTTTTCTCAAGTAGATATTGGGTTCTTGGGTAACAGACCCATGGGCTGTATTTCCAAAGTAATAAGATGAAGTGGAGCAGAATTCCTCCGTGATGCACTGTGCCACGTGCCTGGCAAAACAAAACTGCTTTCCTTCCCTATCCCTCCCTGCCTGCCAAAACTGGATGGCATTTTAACATAAAACTTCTCTTTGCCATCTATGTTTTAAAATCCTCCTATAGATAAATCCTGAAAGGGCACGCTGAAGACAAAATTAACTGAAATACCAAATAACAGCACTAACATCACCGAGTCCAACCTGCATCCAGAGTTGTGTAACTTACTCAGTATGAGATCGTGCCCACGTGACAAAGCTTTTGGCAGTGAATCCACACACATATGCATTAAGAACTCATATCTGCTGGGCAGGAATAGGAGTTTAATGGACAGTGGCCTCGCAGCAAAATAATAGAAGAAGCTTTATAACAGGGGAGTGAAACAAAAATCAAATTAAAAGCTTCTTATTTGGTAGTATTTCATAGTACTGAGCAATTTCATAGTTACTAAGAAATACTGTTAAAGGACGTTGGTCTGAAACAGGGGGGAGACTGAGATGAGCTCTTAGGCAAAAGCTCTTCCCTGTGAGGGTGCTGAGGCGCTGGCACAGGGTGCCCAGAGAAGCTGTGGCTGCCCCATCCCTGGCAGTGTTCAAGGCCAGGTTGGACACAGGGGCTTGGAGCAAGCTGCTCTAGTGGAAGGGGTCCCTGCCCGTGGCAGGGGTTGGGGCTGGAGGAGCTTTAAGGTCCCTTCCAACACAAACCAGGCTGGGGCTGTATGAAGCAGCTGACAAAACAACCATCCCTGGGGCACTTTGCCACTCTGCTCAGACACCAGCAAGGCAGCAAAACCAAACCATCAACATGGAGCAGCATCTCCTCATGAAGGTCATGCTGGGAGGGAAAGGGGAGACACATGATCCAAAGGTCCTGAGCAAACACCTACTGAACTACACCACCATGCAAAAACCTTGCAAAAGCAGTACACAAAAACATCCCAAACTGTCCCAAACTGCTGGCTTTGATCCCAGTGTAATGGGCTAGGAATAGCTGTTTGGTGTTTCCTGCTGGTGGCTGGAAGGGGACCCTATAGAATGAGTACGGGACGTTCTCATCTCTCTACCCAAGCTGCATCCCAGCACCGCCACACACCCGTAGAAGCTACCTCTGTTTTGTGGGACAGCACAAATGGACAGGCTGGGAAGCTTTGGGTTATGGGCTTTTTCATTTAAAAAGCATTTAAAACCCCAATGCTAATGTAAACACTTTGTCTTTCAAATGAAATATAAAGTAAAATAGCTATGTTCTGGTAATATTTACATTACAAAATCCTGATTTTCTGGATTAAGACAGATCTCTTTTGGAAGCATGAGTTTATAACAATTGTACACAGCATCTACTGACTATGCAAAACCTGATTCTTATAGTTTGCCCTATATCCCTGTGTCGCAAAAGGGGAGGTTACACAGTTTATATGGATTCCTATTTCAGGGGCAAAACTATTAGCAGAAATTAACACCCCATCCAGGAGTACCAGCAAGGGTACTTTCAAAAACTGCAAAGGGAAATGAAGCTGCATAACTGAATTGTGCTTAATCTTCTCTTTAACCTGATGGAGAGACTGAGATGAGCTCTTAGGCAGAAGCTCTTCCCTGTGAGGGTGCTGAAGCGCTGGCACAGGGTGCCCAGAGAAGCTGTGGCTGCCCCATCCCTGGCAGTGTTCAAGGCCAGGTTGGACACAGGGGCTTGGAGCAAGCTGCTCTAGTGGAAGGGGTCCGTGCCTGTGGCAGGGAGATGGGAAGAGATAAGCTTTAAGGCTCCTTCCAACCCAAACCAGTCTGGGATCTATGATTCTGTGTTGATCCTTTTGGGAGCAAGCACACAACTCAACCACCCTAACGTACATAGGAGTCACCTTAGAACTGAAATATCTCAGATTTTCTTATTTTCTTTTCAGACAGCATTGATTTCTGTTTTCTTACACCCCTCCAAACTGCTCTGTGAGCAAGCACTTCTCAACATGCACAGTCTGAAGTTTTCCAACGCAAATGCACAAGCCTAATCCTGGCAACATTTGTGCCTGTAAAATTAGCACTATTTGTCATGTATGCATTTCTGAAGTCCCAGCATCCTGTTCAGCAGACGCTCCCATGTTTCTCTGTGCACCTGAACAGCAAGTGCATTTCATTCTGGAAGGATCACTACTTCCCCCCCCCCATATCACCACATTCTCCCAGGGCATGCACAGGGATGAGCAGCGCAAGGTGCAGGAGCCCACATCGGCTCAGGGAAAACGCAGAGGGGCAATTTCCACCCCACAACCTCCAGTTTAGGGTTATCTAAACCCATGGGGCTTTCAAAAATGGGGGAAAAAATAACCAAACCAGGAAAAGCAAGCAAAGGAACATAGAAATGCAACCAAAGAACTGGGAGCTGCTCAGGAAACACATCCGTAAAAACAGCAATTGCATTTCCAGGCAGTGCTGTAAGCTCAGATTTACTACCCAGCCTCTTAGCCTGCTCATTTCCTTATCTGCATCCCTG